TCGCAAACCTGAAGGTACATCTACAATGACTCAATGTTGCATTTAAAAAAACTGTATCGCCAAATATTGTTTAATCCTAAACTAATTTAACAAAAACAATGTTAACGTAACTTTGACCAAAGTTAACTTTAAGAACCTACAGTTCATTGTGCATCCCACATTGTTTTATACACTGAAAAAAAAAATTGATGTAGAAACAATTTTCACTCATAAATATCTAGTCAATTTTACAACTGATTACAAAGAAACAGCAAGCAAAACATTGAATTAAATTTTGGAAGACTAGTAAATAAGATAGTAATTTTCTGTAAAATGTTCTCCAATAATCTTTGTTTTATTTACAACTTCGACAAATATTTTTACAGTGTATTTTATGTGGCGAAGTACTTTGATAATGATTATTTCAAATGCATGACATAAGCATCATAAAAATCACCATAATAATGATGTTTAAAGAAGCTAACTTTACTCTCAAGCCAACACACATAATGCTAAAGCCTTGTGGTTATGAATATATACAGCCTATAACTATCATTTTTTGCTATAAACTGAGGCAAGATCAAGATTATTTCTTGCTGTAATCAAAATTATGCCACAACAATCCTTTAAAAGTCACACAGACTGATGGGGTCTTCATGCGAGACCCCACTAAGAAACAACAATGCATCCTCAGGAGTCTTTGTGCAAGGTCAGATATTTCCTGGGTCGCAAACTGAGCGCTGAATGAGTGTGGGTGGCATGTGGTTCAGCGCTATGAGAGTGAGCTCAGTTGATGAAGATTAAACTGCCTCTCATTGTCTGTGGTTAGACTCAAGCAGTTAGGTGCAGCGTGCACAGCAAACCGTTTTCCTCCAGACCCTCAGTGTGGCCTGTGCTTTGTACTGTTAACCATTTGATGTACTCTATAGTAATGTTATGTGTTTCTAGAGATCATTTATGAGAACACCAAACCAATGGAATCGAGCTACTGGAGGCGAAACCGGACTAAGATGGACATCTGCGACCTGCCTTCGTCCAAAAAAACTGACACCATTAAACCGCTAAGGAAGTATGACACTCTTTCAAGCAACAGAATCCGAAGGCCATAAGTCTTCCATATGAAATAATTATCCTCTGAAAACACATTAAATATATTAAATACCTTACTGTACACACATATTTAATTTTGTAATGTAGCATTTCCCGATAGATGGGAAGCTGTAAATATAAAGCTGGTTTTTTTTTTCTTCAGAAAGAGATACATGAGAAAACCAGATTTTTTTCCTTTAATGACTTTCAATTGTATCATACCGAAACATTCTGTGGTTACAAATAAATGTGAAAACCACCAAAACGAAAAATCTGTCACACTTTTTTCCACTCACAATGAATAATACATTATCATTATTGTGACAGCACAAATTGGTCTATGGTATTTTAGAACCTACATAAAGATTAGTCAACCATGATTAGATAACAAACCACATACTGTGACAGCAGCAAATGAGGGAAGAAAATAAGGAATTGAGGTGTTTCATAGTTATGAATCATTAATTCTTATGTAGTCATTAAAGGAACTGGGAATTTTCTTTGAACGCACGTTTTAACATAGGCCTACTGTAACTCACGTCAGTCAGTTAATCAGGTCAGACGCCATAATGACTTTAAAACGAGGCTGTGAAGGAGACAATGGTACGCACTGTATAATGGTAATTTCACAATTCATAACTTTAAAGGTGGGGTAAGCGATTTCTGGTAGCCAATGTTGACATTTGAAATCACCAAA